AACCTGTTTTTGGGCTACCAAAATTAACACCGAACTGAAGGCGATTTGGATTTGGAAACAAAAAAAAAAAAAAAAAAAAACTTGCATTCTTTGATCGAATGGAAAATGGAAAACTCAAAAAGCCGCGAGGGAGAGACGGATGCATGTGTTTAAGACTGGTTTTCCCTCGCGGTCTTTGGCACCTTTGATGTTGGTTTTTAATGCTCTAAAAATGAGAGGAGGAAAACCAAAAGAGGGGGTTGTCCATCCAATAAAGTCTATGAGAATTTTATTTCTTATAATCGAATTCATGGAATTTTTTTTTGAACCAACTTTAGGCGCGGCCTGGCCCCGGCGAATGATCAATCAAGTGCAGCATCAGTGGAGGCAGATGAATACCTAATGAGTAAGGGTACGACTGACAAACTGACAAACACACCCATGAATATATATATATATATATGTAGATATACCCACAGTCGTAGACCCAAACTGGTTTAATTGATTCAAATGAAGACTACGACGACGACGACGACGACGACGACTGCTGCCACGATGATGTTGAATGACGTTTGTCCGGCTTAGGCATTGGCTTTATCTTTTTGTTGCCTTTTATACCGATTTCAGTAATATGTAAATCGAACTCCCCTCGGTAGCAGATCCCCCTACTTCGCCCTACAGATGATCAACAAAACGTCAAAATAGAAAACTTGCAAATCACATGCAACAATTGATGTCGATTGTTTGCCGCTGGCGTGTCATGCAACGTTTTGTGCTCACCCTTTTGTGGCTGCACTCGTGTTGTGTGTTTGTGTTTATAATTGTCTCAGATGCAGCAGTAACAGTCACCCCCACCTCCTGTAATCATAATCCCCTTGCCCTACCCATAGCCCCCCCTTTGTGTTTACCGATCACTTGTCAGTCAGGGGCGTTCGGTGCCCCCTCACATTGAACCCAACCATCACCTCAGGTTGCACTCGAACAAAGGGTATACAGGTGGTGGGTAAATCTTTTAGATCGAAGATTGATTGTAAAGTTGGGTTATAGGGTGGATAGAGATGGGTATAGCTTCTGTATCTTTGACTTGTAAGTCTTAGGTAAAATTGCCTTCAAGAAAGTATTAACTTTGATTAGAAAGAAAGAAGAATAGTTGACTTTTCATAAACACAAACTATCTCTAGTATAGTAAACTATTCTTAAACCTTCTAACTTTATTGCAGTACAACCTAATCTAAAGACACTTTAATACTATCTAACAACCTTGCTCTATTAATGATAATTCCAACCATAAAACTGTTAACCTAAATTATCAATTGACTACTTTAGAAAACCTTTTGATCTACAGACTTTAAGTTGTGATTGTCCTAGGTAGTAAGGTAGTAAGTCAAATGATAATTAAATAATAAACTTTTTATTGCTTTAATTTAAAAGTTAAAACAAGTTTGCATTTTGATTACTTTGAGATCAATAGAGTTCAGTAAATGATCAGTCTACGAATCCACTTTTGTTATATTTTTAGAAATTTCATCTTTCAAGAAGCTAACCAGAAGCCTTTGCTTACGTTTTTATAAGTTCTAAAAAAGGCAGTATTTTGAGTAAGGGCATTAAGGCATCAGCTTATTGCTCTCATTTTCTAGTTTAATTTTGCGGTCAAAGTTGACTGACAGTTGCCGCCATGTGAATGTCAATTGTGGCCGAGCCCCCGACGTCTGCTGCCCTTCTGACTTTCAGTTGTTTTCCATTCAATTATTCAAAATTAGCCCTCCACTGGCTAATTGCTGGAAGATGCAATTAAAGCTGGCCAGACTATAAGTCGGCGACAGATCTACGGATAAAAGTAGTTAAATATCGATAGAGGCAGGCTACCATCATGTCTCACATACAGCTTGGGAAAACGACTTTCTTTTGTTAGAAAAAAGAAAATCAAAGACAGTCAGGTAGCTAAGGATTTGTTTTGTGTGTTGAAATGCATTAAGATATTACCCAAAAAAACACCCTCAACATTTCGGTGGACGGAAGTCGGTGCGGTCATAAATACCTAATCTTTATGGACAGTGGGAATCAAAGAACTTGACTTGTTTATGCCCACTCCTCCTCCTCCTCCTCCTCCAACTCCAACTCCTCAGCTCAGATCCCCTTGCAACGTGTCTTTATCCCACCACTAATTACTTGTCTCGCTCTGCTGGGGCACAACAAGCCAGACTAGACATTCCTTAACTCAAGATCACAGGATAAGATGGTCGGAGAGTTCGGAGAGTGTAAATGCCAGGGAGTGAGTCCTTGTGGAAAAGCCATTCAAATGCAAAAGGTAGAGCAGAACGAAGGAGCCACTAAATAAAATCATTAAAAATAATGAACGCACTTCCGTTGCAATTGTCGGAGTCTTAGAACTTTACACAACATTAAAATGAAGCAGCCAAGGGGAGAAGTTGGCTTAGCGGGTTTACACTGGAAGAAAACTAACTTGAAATTATGATTAAGAAGCTTGAATTTTGAGGGTTTCAAAGGGTTATCAGAGGTGCTTTTTTTAAAGTGTATTCGAAACATACTCGTGGTTTGCCGCACAAATTAAAAGGTAGAAATGTTCCCTCCCCGAAAACCTAGAACCCAACTCGTTGTCGAACTCGTTGTTTGGTGGCTCAGTGGTTCGGTGGTTCAGTGATTCAGTGGTTTGCTTGTTGGGTTGTTGTTTTCTTGTTGTTGTTGTTGTTCGACTGTCGTGAGTCCGGGCCCGGCAATTGCAATTACATATGTAAGATTGTTCTCAGATGCCGCTCACAAGCCGCCCAAAAGGAAAACGTTGTGGGGGCATTGCTGAAACGGAAATAAAAACTCACTCCATACCCGTGGCCGTAAAAACAAAGGCAATGGCAATGCTGGTTACTTGATTGTGGGGGCTGGACGACACATATAAATTATCAACGATGCGGCCCAGACCGAAACTCAAACCCCAGCCCATGCTTAGACCCATGGTCTCTCTACTTATGCATAGATACACAGATACAGATACATTCTGAGAGAGATTCTGAAATCATGAAGGTTGCTGGGATCTACAGGTACAGCCTACGCCAAATGGAGCTCATCGTTTATGCAATTGGTTTATGGGCCAGATATTTTATACTTTATTGGCCAGACTTTATTGGCCGACAAGCTGAGTCGTGAGGAGGAAAGTGTGAAACTGGAACAGCTAGTGGAGCAGAAAGATACTTTTCCAGCATAAAACTATTAGCTACAAAGTCTAAAGATTGGAGGAGAAGCAATATCTGGTTCTATTCAAATGGAATCTGAATAATCTTTCGAAGATTTTAAAGGTTAACCAGTTAAGATTTAATCTTTGTGATAGGCAGAAGTTTTGAACTGAACTAAGTCTGGAAATACCTTTGTTTAAGGGCCCTTAAAACCTGTTAAATAAATTAAATTATTTACTTTAGTTTCACCTTAGCGGAAAATCAGGTGTGACGCTTTCCCAAGGTCAAGCTGTGATCATTACTCAGGGAAGTTCGGGAAGTTATTTGCTTACAAAAATATTATTAAAAACGAAAGGTCGGTCGAACTTTAATCAATCTTTACATAGGCCGGTTAAGCACCATCAGTCATTCAATATTCTTGACCGTAGAAAATGATTGATGACCGTATTGGCAATATTCTAGGTGAACTATTATGTTAATTGATTGTAAAAATTCAAATTTAATGCCCGAATCAAGCTCTTAAACCTGTTGAACATTAACTCAGTGTGCATTCTAGCAGTCGACTCACCGCCGGGGGTACAACATGTCTGGGATTTGGTCGGGTGAGATGTCGGGTGTCCAAATTGATTTACCATTCCGGGGTGCCATCGTTATATCTGACCCAATTGCTGTATCGGGGTAGTGGTGTGGTGTGACACATTTCTGCTGGCAAAGATCAATTTGCTTTGGTGGCCAATGGAAATGGATCACAGCTGAAAGTTAACTGGGAATCGGAATGGGAATCGGAATAGGAGTCGGAATGGGAATGAGTCTGTGGAGTGTGGCGCGGTTTAGGTGGTGGTGGTTCCTCCGTTTGTTTACTCAACTGTTGAAACAGTGGCAAAGTGCGGAATCATGTTGCGGCATTGTTTGGCCGAGCATTTCTAGTTTGTTTTCCTTTTTTCTTCTGCCTTATTAGCCGTAGCTCTCTTCTGGGTTATTTACCCAATGACGACAGTTGTCGACGTCTTCGACTGGCGCTTGGCCAAAAATAAAAAAGAGACAAAAAACAAGGTCAGACAAGAGAACTTTCCAAAAAAAGAAACAACAAGAAGAAATACCAAAACGGCGGGAGAACAAACAATTAGTCAGGGAGGGGCCCTCGCAATTTGTATCTGTAACCGGGAGATATTCGCGCTTTTTCACACTACTCTTCTGGGTTAACGTCAGCGTTAACCCGTTTTGCCAGGCCAATTACCCCGCCCCATAACCCAACATGAATATCGCTTAAAACAGTATAAAAGTGCCTCGACAATTGCTTGATTCATGACTAAAAAAAACAGCTGGAGAAAGAGGAAACTCTGAAACACAACCTACATAAAGTATCTTTGTATCTCGGTATCTTGTATCTCGGTATCTGGTATCTGGAAATGTAGCTATGTGACGCATCTGCGAACCCAGCGGAGAACTGCATCTTGAAGTTGCGCCTCTTGGCTCTTGATTGCTCTTGATTGGCTTTGGTTTTGTGTTTTCCCGATTTTGTTTTTCGTATTTTTCGATTTTATTTTGATTTCCCCCCCATTGTGCAAGTTTTTGATTTCGCTTCGCGTTTTGATTTGATTTCGATTTGTGTGTCTGGGGCGAGTGTTTATTTTCATTTTCAATAAATCGCTCTATAATTGCACTATGGGGGGCATTACTAAACCCCCCCTCTCGATGTGAAAGCCAACGTCAAATTATCTCATTTCATGAGGCGTGTGAAAACAATTTTGATCTTCGCATTTCCAAATTGATATATCTCCTTTGTATTTTCTTAAAATATTTTAATAGTTTTCTTTTGTTTATCTCTTGCAGGCCAGTCCGGCGAAACACAAACACGCCTTAAAAGCTCTTCAAGATTTGTGGATGTTTTCAGGTAACTATAAACATATTTCTTATGCAAAAATACCAGAAAACTCCTAGGAAATGGGGGAAAAGTATCTTGGAAAACAAGTCTAGATCACCCATAAGTTATATGGTTTAGTATATAGCCCAGGCGATAGCAGTTAAGTGGTTCGAACACACACTATTCATAACTCGAATGCCATTAACGCTGCTGGCACGCAAACTTTCGCACGGCTCACTGCTCGCATTGAGAACCTTAAATATGGGTCAATTACTCATAGAGTGTGTGTGTGTGTGTGTGCGAGGAGGAAAACAAATGTCTTACATAACTGTTGACGTTGTACAATTTAGTGGTCGTTAACTAATCTACAAATGCGTTGTAGGGTAGGTGCAAGGTTTATAAAGGTGGTGATGGATCTTAAGAGGATATACCATAGTTTGGGAAATACAAATCTGAGTAAGCAGAAACTTAATACTGTATCACAGATTGAAAAATACTTCAATAAATACTAGAAGTTTCTTAGTATTTTATTAGATTTATGACTTACAGTATTTTTTCTTTGGTATGTTAAAAGAACAAGTTAAAAATGTAAACAATTTCACTCCATTTCCTTGGCATTTCTTTAACAAAACTCATAACTAGACTTATTAAGATACTTTTTCAGTACATACTAAGTAACTCGTAGTCCATACAAAACCCTACCTTCTCACTAGTTCTAGCTTTAGTTCAGTTCTAATTGCCGCTAGTCATACTCGTATACTCACTTCTACCGGCAAGCCTAACTGTTGAGTGGCAGTTAAATGCTAATTTGGCCAGCTGACTGACCGTTGGCAACTGCCGGCTTTTGTTTTACTGCTCTTGTATGATGACTGCCTGTTTCAGCGCAGAATCGCTGATGTTTCTTCGCCTCTTAATTGCACCGGGAGACCCATTTCAGTGTTGGCCCTTTTAGCAGCGATGGCTTTTTGCTTGCTTGCTTGCCTCATCTTAACGTATTTTGTGCCGCCGTATCGATTGCGAATCGACGCACATGAATTGAGGTCGCCAGAGATCAACGATCTGTATCTGTATCTGTATTTGGATCTCTACCTGTTGGCAGTTTTGCTCTTGTTTTTGCTTAACTTTAGTTACAGTTTAGTTAAAGAAAATGTTAGTTTTAAAGTGATATTTACAGGGCACATAATGTTTACTAGGAAGTATAATTCAAACCTATTTAAGGTACTCTTAAAATTCCTAAAAAAGACGAAAAAGATAATGCTTATTACTAGCAAAAACCAAAACTCTAACATTATTAAATCAAACTTTATTCTCGGTTGACTGTCATCGATAAATCCTCAGACTGCATTTGATATATAGTATAGCCAGGGTGATCATTGTTTCGTGATCGGGCCATAACAATGTGAATTTGTCAACGGAAACGATCTGCGACATCGTCAGCCACGAACAATTGCCCACATGCAATTCATATAATTTGTTTAGATCATAAATTTGCGTCATTTTTGGCTTGCCAATGTCCGAGTATCTGATGAAACTTATCCGCTAAAAATACATACAGAAACCACCTCTGCTTACACAATTTCCCTCACTGATCTAAGCCAATTAACTCTGAAAATCGACATTTTCCTCTGCCAGTAAGCTCATTCCTCTAAACGCTTCTAAAGATCCACGCTGATCACCTGAAATCAAATCAAGTTGAAATGAAATCATGTTTACATTACGTAAGCTGGTAAATAAAGTTTAAACTTTGAACTTGAAAGCTTGAATAATAAATAATTCGGATTGCCAATCGGGCAGACAACTTATTGAATATTTTTGTGAGTGAATATCAAATGTAAATTTGAATTGGTAAACAAAGTTAGCAATGAATGACAAAATATGTTGTAATAAATCAAAAAGTTGAATAAAGGCAGTGATTTCTAGTATTATTATTTAATTTTAGGTTAAATAGGTTAAAAAAAGGCTTTTATTTTAGTGTTTAAATAAGAAAAGCAAGGAAAATAAGTTCTACCTTCCTTCTAAAGAACTTTAACAATCATAAATCTTCTAACTTCTGACACTCTTCCGACCACTTTCCACTTTCCTTGCTTATAGATTATCATTCGCTTCACTTTTACTCATCACGAAGTAGAATCTGAAGCTGGAGTAAAAGTTTGGCAGCTCATCTCCACTTAATTTCTGCATTAAATTTTATATAGCCGGACATGGACACATGCCTTGCCTTTCGGACTTTGGCTTGGTTTTCACCTGGCCGCGGCACGTAGCCAGCGCCATTTCGGATAGACATTTGACACATCACCTGACATGTCAGGCTGTGGCTGTGGCTGTCGTTGAGTGAGAGTTTTCCCCCCTCTAAACAAAAATTCTTGCAGTAAAAGTAAATACGATTTAAGAAGAAAACGAGCTCAAGTTCAGACAGCAGGTGGCAAATTGTTTTGGCACATGCCAAAAAGTCCAAAGTGACCAAGAAACTATTGGCGGAACCAGCTTCTGGTTAGAGTTAGGGTAGGGTAGACCTGTCTGGATTGGATTCGCCAAGCAGATAAAAATAAAACCATTATAAATTCATTAACCAGCAAAAGCTTTGATAATTTGGCTAGAGAGTGTTTGGAGGGAGAGGGACGAGGAAAACGTGCAGAGATTCTATAATTTTGTGCGTCAGCAGAAAAAAAAAACATGACTTCTTTATCCCCCCGATCTACGCGATTCGTTTGATCTTGACAACAAACTAGCCAAACCACAAAAATGGCAGAAAAGTAAATATATATAAAAAAGAGAGAGAAAAAAGTGCCCCAGGTGATAAGTTCATTTATTTATCTGTTATTCCTGCGCTGTTTTTCTTTTAATTCTATACGAGACGCGTGCTTCTTGGGTTTTTGTGTTAATTTGTAATAATTAATTTGAGAATGTGCAGAAGCCGCAAATGAAGCGAGGCTAATAAATTATTTATGAATCTCGGACACGACAAGATATTACGGGTATTTCCCAGATACAAAGAATAACTCAAAACTTGGCTAAGATTTCGTGGAATCAAAGGTGCCATTTAAGTGGATTTTTATTGCGGTTTTTTAGTTCTAAAGTTAGTTTTCCCAGGAAAAGTTAATTAAAAACTCCCTAATTTTGTAGTATCTAAAGCTACTTGTATTTATTATTTTATTAAATATTTTTTAATGATAATTTTTTGACTTATAAATAATAATAATAATAAAAACGTAACTAAAAAGTTGAAAAACATTTCGTGGAATCAAAATTGCCATTTAAATGGATATTTATTGCGGTTTTTTTAAGTTCTAGAGTTAGTTTTCCCAGAAAAAATAATTTATTATTTTATTAAATATTTTTTAATGATAACTTTTGGCCTAATAAATCTGTAAGTTTAACTGAAAAGTTGAAAAAGGTTTCGTGGAATAAAAAGTTGCCATATAAATAGATTTTTATTGAGAGTTTTAAGTTCTAAAGTTAGTTTTCCCAGGGAAAAAAGTTAGTTAAAAAATCTTAAATTTTCCAGCATTTCTTTTTTTATTAAATATTTTTTTAATGATAACTTTTGACCCAATAAATCAGTTTTTAATAACATTTGATAAGCTTTTCTTTCAGGTTTGCCATTAAAATTTTTATTATAAATTATTTTACAGACCTTGTAAACCTTTTGTTTGTTTATTTTAACATTATTTGCCTTTCCTCTTCAATATAATTAATTACCATTATATTTCCACTTCGACCGCATTTTGTACATTTTGGCTTTTGATTGGCAGCGTTGCGCTGGCTGCACAATTACTTAGCCAAACGAGTGAGGCAACTTGGGGAATGCCACAAATTGCATTGCAGCCAAACACGGAAGATGTGCCACCACCGGCCCAGCCTACACGCAAAAGTTGCGTGTGCATTTCGGACTGGGTTTGTGTGCCTCAAAATGCCATTTTTGTTGCAATTACATTTACAAAAACAACAATAACAACAACAATGGCAAATCGGTTGTCACGGAGGTCCATTTACCTGGCTTAATCACCGGAACGAGGTCTCTAAACATATCAAATCTTGAATTTAAATTGCAAAAAATTGTAAAAAATAGTAAAAAAATCAACTTGAAAATCTATTTTATTATAGATTATCAATAGCCTTTGTCATGTCATTTGTTTTTATCAAATTACCTAACTCTTACTTTTGTAAGTAGTTATAAAAAGTGGTTTTTCCTTGTTGTTTTTTTTTTCTATAAAGATAAAGCGTGAGTTTAATTTGCCTTTTGGCCTGGTGATTTTCTCTGATTTCCAGGGGAAATTGCGCACTTGTGAAAATGAAAAAAGGGTTCTGACGTGGCTATAAAGTGCTGGGATTTATTACCCTTGACTAGCCTTAGACTCGTTTAAACTGCAAACTCTAATTAGGCGATCGTGTAGAGGTGGCTTAAAAAGGGTTATTAAAAAAGCACAGCTTAAGGGTCAAATGGGTTATGATAGGTTATATATAGGTACTAGTAAAATTCATGATCAGTTTAGCTTGGTACTAAGAATGATTAGTTTTTAACTTAATCTTAAAGAGGGGCAGATTATGTATTCGATTCCTGGAACTGGTTCAATGTTTATGGCAAAAAATCAATCAAAAGGTGTTGACTGAAAAGTAAACAAAGCCCCATCTTGATTTAATTCATTAGAACGGATCACCACTGTGAGATATTCTTCTTACTGTTTTTGGAGAATAGCTCGTAGTATCTCACGGATTAAAGTAATTAATTTACATAGAGCGTTATTAGGGGGCTAGACTAGACAGTCTGAAGTTTTTCCAAAATATTTGCCTAGAACTCTTTGGCTGGTATTTACCTAGTTAGTTAGTTTAATTAAACGGTCTGATTGTGGTTTTAGCGTAGTGCCAAAAGTCGCATTATCCATGCATAAATCAAAAGCAAGTCACTTAATTTCAATTTAATTTCATTCGATTTTTTATATTTTTTTTTCATTTTTTTTAACAAACTTTTTTGTTTGCCTTTCGAAATTTGGCAATTTTTCCTTCGAATTAATTTCATGCGCATTTTTTTG